TAGTCTCTACTCCCCTGCCGCTGCAAACGCTAGCAAAACGCTGGTGAAACGCTGGAGAAACGCTGCGTGGCTGGTGACGCTGGGAACGCTAGATCGATATGCATCCTCTCCCCGGCACTGCCGCTGGCGTACGCTGGAAGCGCTACGCTACGCTGCCGCAAAGTATAAACGCAGCCAGCCAAGAAAAGCTCACTTATCTCAACGGGGCTTGTTCCATGAAAAATGTTCGGATGAAGAACAGACACGCCCTCTCCTCCTCCGCGACATGGGGCGAAGGTATACAGTCGTTAATGGCTATGCCGTCCGGCTAGCGGCTTATACGCTTAGCGCTGCAACCGTGTTGAATACAAAAAAGGCGTGTATGGGGCCAAGGGGGGTGGCACATTTTCTACCACTAGGCAGACTGCTTTATCACTTCTTTTTCAACGTTCTGACAGTAGGAAAAACTACTCATCCCCTTAATTCACACTGCTGCCTTTCAACCCATCACAACACGGAAAAAACCTCTGTCTGACTCTATTCAGGTGGGGCCGAATCGTTATTGGCAGCTGAGGCTGCTCACGGCTACCTTTCTGCGATAATCACCAAGGACAGTTCTGCTGCAGAACTGGAACTTCAATACTGTCTTGTTCGCTGTGGATGCTGGGGCGTTTCAGAGAGCTGGGCTTCGCGCGGCGCCATCTTAATTTCGACCAATAGCAGTCGCTCGACCCTGTCAACAATGATGGAGAACAGGAGCGCGCTGTGCCAACCGCAGCCCCCCTGACACGCCTCAACATCAATGGCAATACTATATGAATAAAAAGGGTGTTAATACGACAAAATTTCAAAAATGTTGCGAAGGAGTGCCTCACCAATAACTAGAGCCACGTCAGTATGGTCAAAATCGGCATTGATGTCATCCATTTCCTCAACAATATCGTAAGGAACTCCGGCTTCCGCAAGAAGTACATTCAACTGTCCAGGCATTCGACCTGAAAGGAAAAACGATACTATTGGTAAATAGAGGTGCTTCAAACAGAAATGAAATAGCCATTTAATGGTAGAAAAACCGAACCGGCAACGGGATGGACGGCAAATCGCACTCGGACTCCACGATCGTTCAAGGTCTTAGCGAGCTGAGCAATCGGATACTGAGCTTGAGCGGCACACAATCCATAACCAGGTACGATAATCACAGACTGGGCATTTAGGAGCCAGTCGACAGTCTACAACATAAGAATTTAAATTTTTAGATAAGTACAGCATCGGGACAAACTTTGCATATAGCTAAAGTCATGCTCATTCAAATGATCAGCTCATAGTCACTAAGCAAAGGCAAGGAAAGCTTATCATTGTCATTCTCAAGATGATCGGAAAGTCATGCCGGGCGGTGTTCAGCTTGTTCGGCGAGGGGGGGGGACATTGCCACTTTCGTTATGTCCTTTTACTAATTTCTGCTGAATAACACGTCCCATACCGAAGGGGGTTCCAACTACTTGTGAATGAAGTTGCTGCTACTGCGTAGTTCTACAGAAGTTTGCATGATGCATCCAGAGTGATAACTGAGAACGATGAAATGGAGGGATACCCCTGCAGGACACATCATCGTTGAGGATTCCCCAACAAAGGGGTGATAAATGATCGCTGGAGGGGCAGGTCGTGGTCTGAGGAATCTTTTTGATAGTTCATTTTACTTGTTTCACGGACGCTAGAAGGGGAGGGGTATATTTCCATTGCGGTTTTACCGTTTCACACGTGCTCGACAGCAAACTGAGGGTGTCGTGCCAGTCACGTTTTAGAGGGGGGGGGAGGTGGGGTCGTACGTAGTATGTGCTCTACCCGAGCCCGCAACTAATGATGTGGTGTTGTGACCTGTACCTACTCAAAGTTTCTTTCATTGTGTCACAGGCATTCCATTCAGCCTAGTACTAGTAATTATAAGTTAGGGT